AAAAGCAAAAATAAAAGTAAGGCAAGACTACATTAAAACATAGAAGCATTAGGGTACTGCAGTGGTTTAAGTTTAGCAATAAAGAGATGTGGAGAACTCTTGATAGAAGGGAATGCAGAAAAGTATAACTCTTTCCTGCCATCTTGTAGTTTTTGTCCAGTATTTAGCAGCCCAGTTATGATAAGCATAAGAAATCGAGTCTTCTCTTTCTTTTCTACTACTTAATTTCAATTGCATCAGCTTCAGCTCGTCTTGATACTGGTGAGTTTCATTTATTTTTATGTCCATGAAATCATTAAGTCCACAGTAAGGTCTTCATAAATTTTTTTAGGAAGCTCTAAAATGAGCTGGCTGTACCACTGGCCTTTACTATGTGAGTATTCTGTATTTGTGTATTGTTTGATATACAGATGTCCTATACAATGTTTGTGAAAATGTGGGAAATTCATTAGGTACTGATTTAAATAAAGCCCTTAAATCAAAGCTTTCAAACAGATGAACCTAAGTGAAACTTGTAAAAAAGTGAAACGATGACAAAAAAGGAAAACAAGTCATAATTTTATCATAAGGTAATTATGATAAAAGAAGCATAAAATTTTAGAGAAAAGAAAAAGATGTAATGTGCATTGTAGAAAAGACAAAAAATATAAGGAAAAAAGTAAAATCCATCATTTCATTGGTAAGTAATTACAATTCTACAATATTTATCTAATGCAATTACCATTCAAGCATGCATATATTTCTACTATCTTTTTATAACTATCATGTTTCTAATATATTGTATTTTTATAAATGAGTTCCATATTTCATTATACTTCATTATAGCTACGTATAAAATAAGAAAGGTGGGATAACAATGTCATAAATAAATAGATTATATTTGTCCATACAGGGTCTACATCTACAAGCAGTTTGCTAAAATAGGTGGCAAGTGCTAATACTACTTCAATCCATTGAATGAAAGGGGCTGTAAATTTAGCTTTCCAATCCTACAGTATCAGTCTTTTAGCCAAAGTAATGGAGAACCCATTATTATCTTGTCCAGTTGTCAAATTCCAAGTAGTTCAAGAGAATAATGACCTCTGAACATTTTAGCTTATCTCTGATTGTCATATAAGGTACACTTTTATCATTTTACACATTAATTATAACGTAAGATTAAAAATGTTATACAAATCTACTATTAAACTACTAAAAGTGTCATGTTTGTAACCTTTAACTGGGTGAAACAGTGCATCGTTGAGCATGAATTTTTGAACCAAGGGGCAAGTTGTCTCCAAAATCCAGGACCTACAAAATTTGGCAAATTTTATAAAACATTTTATAAGAATTATCATAAAGCATTTTATTTTAAGAATTTGTCCAGTGAAGGCAGTACATTAAAAGCTCTGTCATTGTTGAAGGCATTGAAAAATCTGTTAAGGAAATATCTCTGAAACAATGACCCAACAGGTCACAGATTGCCTTATTCCTTTATAATTTTATGTACTTGCATTTCATAAGCCTTACAAATATGGCTTAGGAACTTTGTTTGGAAAAACTAGTCCATTTTAGCAAGTAGTTAAGTTTAGAAAATATCTATTTCTATCATTGTCCAACGGTTCTTTATCATTTGGCTTAACTTGCAGACATGAAAGCCACACCTGGAGCTTGGACCGCACAGAAAGCCTCACTTCTGATTGTCAGTCTGGGATGATGTTGTCTTCTGTGGGAACCAGCAAGTGCAACAGTCCTGCCTGTATGGAAGCGCATGCTCGGCGGGAAGCATCATACTCCATTGAGGAACAGACGAGGCCAATGATGCAGTACAGAGATTCTGTGGATTCCCTTCGAGACTCACCTCATAGTGAGAGGTCTCATTTTCTGTTGCTGTTATTATCATTTATACAAGGAAACCTCAATTTAATAGCAAACCCCCCCCCCCCCTTAGCAGACTCTTAAGTGCAATAAGTTCAGATTTTTATCTGGATATCTCCCTCTGTATCCAAAGTAGTTTGGATGAAGCAGTGACATTTATATGATTTTTACCTTGCTTTTACAACATCTGCAATGGCATCATTTCTGTCAATTGCATCAGTTTGCATAATTTATGCACTTGCTTAACCCTATAAATGACATAAATTGACGTAAATGGTATAGCCTCCTGTTTAATGGATCTTCCAAAATAACAATATGTCCTCCCCCTAAAATGGCCTGTCAAAACAGTGTTTCGTTGCTTTTATACTGAAGTCGCAAATAATGGCCAGGCTCTAATACAGGATAAGACAAGAATGGGAGAGAAGGTTAAAAAAAAAAGAGTTAATTGAGAAGATGGATAAGTACAGGTTGTAAATTTATATTTATATAACATAAGCAATAAATCAAACTGTAAATCAAAAAGGCAGATCATTGACTTAACTTCCTCAGCTTCTTGAGGATCTGTTTCTAAATGATTATTAGACTTGCTTTCATTAAATTGCTTGGTTTTTCTTAACAGTTGTGGTGGTTTTAAACCTCATGTGCCACATAAAGTCACTTTGGGGAGATGTGTGGCTTAATACATAAATAAAAATGCTAAATTATTATTATTTTCTGAAGGAAGAGTTTATCTCAAAGGCTGTGTATAGCAGAATTCTAATATCCTCATCCAGATTCTGGAAATTATCTAAAACTACCTTTTAAAATAATTCCCAGGTAGAAGAAGTGCAAAACCTATCCCCAATATCTTTGCTGCAACCACTTAATATGAACTATATTGACATGCCTGATAAAAACAAATGCCTCAATATTAAATGGTTTGCGTTGCTCTGAACCAAAACCAGAATCAGACCACTTAGGCCACTTTCCAAAAAAGTGTTGTTTCATTGTTTAACATAACTGAGAATAATGTTTTTCTTCAGGGAGTTGGACTAGAAGACCTCCAACTCTATTATTCCATTATGCCTTGCAGTACTGAAGCTTTCCTTTAAGTGAAATTCTAAATTGTATTTTTCAGTACAACTTTTATCAGCAACAAATGACTTAACTCACTAGCACATAGCAAAACAAAATGCAATGGAAGAAATAAACATCCTGTAGCAAACAACCAAGAAAATATAATTAACATACATTTTTAAAAGTAAAGGACCTAGAAGACATTACTGCGTCTCTCAACGCCAGATTGACCTATAATCATCATTGTAAAAGTTCAGATAAATTAGCATTTCAGAAATCCTTAAAAACTTGGGTGTTCCCTCAGGCGTATGTTTTGCCTGTCGCTGTAAATTTGTCTTTTTAATTATTGGACTTGGGTCTGTTTTTGACCATTTTATGTATTTATGTACATAAATACAGTTGTGAGATGTGAGGCTATATCATAAAGAATAAAAAATAATAAACTGATCTTTACCTTTGTAGAACTGCTTAAATAGATGCTAAATCTTCCTGAAATATATAATCCAGTCATTTCTTTCTTTTGTTATTACCAAATCCAGTCATTTTTATTTTAGCTTAGCAAATTCTCTTTTCACTCACCTTAAAAATTATTTATATGCAGGTCAGCTCAAAATTAACTCTGATAGTGCCTTTCTCTACCCCAGATTAATTTTATTGGCCAGTTCTTTTCTTGTCCGGCTGCATTTCTAGTAAAACATATTCTTACAAAAATGATTCAATATAGTGTGGCTCTAATGAGTGCAGTTTGTTTTAGATATAATCAAACCCCAGGGTCTGGCAAGAAAAGAGTTGGCCAAAGTATTCTTCCACGGACACTACTGAAATACTTTTTGTTATGTTCTTTGTATTGGCGTCCCTGAAATGATTAGAAATGAAATGGAAAAAGAGATTCTCTAAGTGGAATCTCAATCTCTCCTTCCATCTCTCTTTCCTACCCCTTCCCTACCTGCCAGTAAGGTATAAGAGCATAATAAGAGTATGGTAATACTTGGGGGGGGGGGATGATCTGGGGGGGAGGGAAACCACCCTGAATTCAAATCACTTCGGGTTCTTTTTGTTATTGCTATGTTTTATTAAAGAAGCATGCAGTAATAGTGTTAACAACATTAACAACAAAAATAAAAACTTCAAATCATTATTTTTAATTTTACACACATGTTGATAAAGCATCAGTTAAAATGACAAAGAATCAAACAATACAGTAGAACCATTGAAAACTATGGAATTATGACTGACCGTAAAAGAACATGACATAATTTTCAGTGTTGCTTCTTCATCTAAAAAGCATGCCTGCATTAATACAGTAAAATGCAACTGAATTGCTCTTGAAATAAAACAAAATGTTCCATCTGTTTTGTAAATACATGATTCTACTACAGTGATCTATTTAAATCAGTATTCAGTTATATTATGAAATAAAGCTATAAGCTTCAGTGAAGAGTTGTCTGAAATAGATACTTGCATTGACTTTGATACCTGGACATATTCAAAATAAAATAATTTCCATTTATGAGAAAATGGCATATATGCAGTGTCAAGAATATTTGACTGAATATCAAATATTCTTGCCAATGTGTATATGCCTTACAATTATCAACTATCAACACACAGGATCTTGTAAAAGACTTAAATAGTCTGGTGAAATACATTTATTAATACTGAGAATTAGTCACCTCATATAATAGTAAGTAGTAAAAATCTACTTTAATGATTTGGTATTTTATACTTCAACAAACAACGTACATAATGTACTATTCCTAATGACTTAAGGATAATGTTAGACTCATGTGGGTGGAGAAAGGTACATTTAGATTATATAACCCTAGTGGCACAGATAGCTTCTGTGGCTGCTTTAGCCCTTTTTTTGCTCCAAAGGAGGACATTATGTCCCTGCCACATTGAAAGTATTTGAGGCAGAAATAATTGTACAGTTATTATATATTATGCAAATGACCCTTCTTCCAATTGGGTTTCAGAACAGAAAGTACAATCAACAATTTTGAGAGCAATTTTGCAAGTGCCCAAATGTGATTCTAATGTAGCTTTAAGACTGGATTTGAGTATCATGAGGGCAGAGGCTCGGATCTGGGTGACTATTTTTAGTTACTCATTAAATTGATGTTTAACCCAGCCTGCCTGGTTACTCTGATAAGTGATAGCTTTTGTCCTTCACAGCACACATGCATTAGAAATAAGTTAAACTAACTTTCTCTTTTCCTTTAGTGATTCAGCTGTTTTAATTTTGATTTTACTGTGTTTTGCTATTTGGGTGACTGTAAATAAAAATGCTATTCAATATTACAAGGAAGTCTCTCATAAAAAGTAATTATGAACAATAAAAACTGATAAGAAGGTAACTGCGTAGCCTATATCCACCCCAAGTAAAAAAAGCACACACAGTATATAAATATTCTAGGTCAGTGGGAGAGAGAACAGATATCTTTATATAAGATCACTAATCAGTATCAAAATATAATGAAAACAAACAAGAAAAAAAAGAAAAGGAAACATTAATACAACCATGGTCATTGTCATGTTGTATACATTTAAGTTCACAAAGCATTCCCATGACTATTTGTAAATTTTAATAAGCATATAGAATAAACATAGAAGAAAAAAGAATTTAAAACTTTATGTTATGAATCTCTCCAAAATTAACATTTGGATATGTATTTTACCCAAGGCTGGTGAACATTCACCATAACCTGGTAATGATAGGTGAGCCATCTGTTTGTCTTGACTTTTGTTCTGGCATATTTAACATTGCAGCTAATTCATCCCAAGAGAAACCATACTGAGGATTTTCAGGTACTTCAGTGTATCAGAATTTTTAACATTGCCAGATACCTAATTTAAATTAAGAGTTGATAAGTCAGACATTTTATTAACTAATGTCTATCATAATCCTGTGTATTTTTTCTTTTCAAAATCCTGCCAGCTCTTATTTTAGACTGAAAAACCTATGTCTGATCAGTAGACTTCCCCCTTCTCTTATGACAAAAATCATATTCTACTCTGTGGATCTACTCTGTGGATCTACTAATCTCAGAGAAAACCCCCTTTCTTTTATTTTATCCTGATCAAGTGTTTATAGGAATGGAAAACAAATGTGCTGAAAGACTCAGCCTTTTTTCTAAGATTTAAGCTGGATACCAATGCCATTGTTTCTTTTTCTAGATATGTCTCTGCCTTGACCACCCCAGCACGCCTGTCCCCTGTTGACTGCCACTGCTCAGCTTCAGCCCACATGCCCACCTTTGAAATAACTTCTCCTAATTCTGCTCATGCGGTCTCACTTCCCCCAGCTGCATCCATTAATTTGCAAGTGGAGGAGCAACAGCCATTGCTGAGAAGGTACCAAGCCCCCTGTCAAGATACACAGAGGTATGATACTTACTACCAAAGAAGGAACTATCTGAATGAGAGCACAGGAAGCTTGCCCTCCAGCCCCTTCCGCATCACAGAGGATGATGAATACGAGACAACCCATGAGTACATCACTGCACTAGAACAGCCAAAGAGAACAGGCAGCGGCAACAGGCGGTGGAGGAGATCTAAACTGAACGGCCACCTGTCTCACAGAGGCAGAATGCTTAGAGATTCCTTTTCAGTCAGCAGTGCCTCATACAGTGAGTCTGATGAGGAGCTGATAGCTGAGAGCACCCCTTTCTTAAGCAATCGGAACATGGAGGCAATCGACACAGATTTGTACTGCTCAGCTGACAACAGAACTTTCTCTTCTTTCAGCAGATTCAACGCACAGGGTGAAAGCCAACAAATACACACCAGATCCAGCCAAGGTTTTGCACCACCTTAGGTGTTACACGCTCTTCCTCATGTCCACTTCCACGAATACATCAGTACTGAGGAAGATAACATGACAGAAAAGACAAATTTTTATTTTATATAAAAATGCAAAAATATAACAAATGAAATGTTTTATTTTCATTTTAGCAATGATGTCTTATAAGAGCTAATGGCAAAGACCTTTTTGTAAGGAATCTATTTATATGTAACATCTTGATTTACAGCTTCTCAGAAAAACAGAAACTAACAAAAACATTTTAAAAGATGGGCCAATTTTTGACTACAAATCATTAAAAAATATTGTGGTGCCTTTTTGCTGTATGTGAATGCCAGAGTCCACACTGAATATTATGTTTAAGCATTCTTGAAACACAGGCTTTATGTTCAGGACAATTTGTTATAAAATATTCCAGTCAGCATTTTTCCATTTGAATTCCTTGATACCTAGAGATTAATGATCTAGTGTTGCTAAAGTAATGTGCTCTCGGTCTTTCCCATTTGCTTTCCCTCCTGAACATGTGCGCATAGACGTATGTTTCAATGTTTTCATAAATATTTTTCCCTCACAGGGAAAATATTACATACTGGTGAGTAAAAATTGATTTCTCTAATAAGGTAAACAATAAACAAAAAAGGGGGTGGAGAAGAAAGTATCTGTAGCCCTTCTGATCCTCAAGAGGTCTGTGATCAAGATACCACACACACCCCCGAAACCAAACATTGCAAATTATTAAATAATACTAGTTCAAGTAATGCTGCGCCTAAAATTTGTTTTGACACCATTTCCAGATATAAAATTTAGCTGTTTAGTAATGATATAAGCCACTTGCTGTGCATGCACAGAACAAAAACCTCCAAATTCTGACCACAATTTGATCATCAAAGAAACATGATTCCCCCATTATGGAACATACAAGACATACAAGGTGCTGTTGAGAAAGGGGTTCAAAAGCCTCCAGCCGGGGATCTAGATGTCTCTTAAGTATGCCATCACCTTCTTTCCCTCCTTCCTTGTTCCTTCTCCTGAGATAGTGCCACCAGCATGCTAACCTTGCCTCAGTCTTCTTCCCATGGAAAGAAACATCAAAGACAATGCTGTTTTGTGTGCTCCATTTTGTAAAGATGGTTGTAAATGTAACATTTGAGCATTTCACAAAAACTTTCCATTTAAAAATAAAGCCACCAGGTATCCTGGTTGATGAGCTAAAGAGCTTTCTGGTTGTGGGTGGCAAGAAAACTTCCCTAAAACAGAGAAAATGGCTCTTTTCAGTTTCCTGTGGAGCCTCTTTTTGACATTATGGCCTGCCTCTTTCTTTTTCTATTTTCACTTTGCATGTCCTTTGCATTTCAAATACTATAAATTGGGTGCATGGAGAACCTAGAACTGAAAAGACAAAATACAGTTGCCAGTGTATTCATTTACTTTTTAGCAATAAAGTATTTTAAATCCTTTGTTCCTAATGCCTAACAAGGTCCAGTAGAAAAGCTGCTACTTTGTCATAAAAAAGATTGTAAAATTTTGCTCTGGATTGTCTGGATGTTAGAATTCTTGACTGTTTAACACTTGAATTTTTTAATACTATAAATAAAAATAAGAAATGGCTACAATGATTATAAAATCAATTTTACATTTGGTGGTGAGAGAGAAAATAGAATGAGGGTAATCTCAAATTATTCATGTTACTGGGAATTTCACTTTGGATGCTTGATTTTTCTAACCTAAAATGATCATCTGATTAACCCAACTGAGTCCAGACCCATCAATAAATATCTACGTGTAGATAATTCTATGCCCTCCAAAGGTTTTTGATCACAACTCCATGAATTCCCAACCATCATGTTAAATATTTGGAGAATTTCAGTCTAAAACACCTGGAAAACTTATCTTTGAAAAAGTGATTTGTAATGTTGAACACTTTGTCCCATATGAGCATAAATTTGCACTTTCATAAATGTTTCAATCCTATGCAAATTTACTTGTCAGTAAATTCTGCTCGATGGATGGGTTGACTTCTAAATAAACATGCATATGATTGGGTTGTTTATTTAAATGTTATTGTTTTTATTCAAATTCATAAGATTCCTTTAGTATTCTTCATTTAGTATTTCATTATCCAAAATAATTTGCAAATCTTGATACATTATATATTAGTTGGAAAAAATGAAAACTTCTGGATCCAATACAGTGAATCTTAATTTTTTCCCCATTCTCTGTTTACATCAGCAATCTATTGAATGAGTCACTGATCCATAAGAGAATGTGCCTGATACTCAGGGGTGGGATTTTACTAGTTCTGACCGGTTCTATAGAACCCCTTGTTAACTTTCTAAACAGTTTGGAGAACCAGTATTTAGAAGAAATCTCCTTTTGTTTTTTTCCACCCTTATTACATTCTTGGCAGTATGCCTAGACTTACTGAAGGAGGGTTTATTTATTTATTTATTTATTTATTTGATTTATTTATTTGATTTGCCAATTGTTTACAAGATAATAAGTATAAATGTATACATAGTTGTGAATACATGAAATGGGTACATATAAGAAAAATAAAAGAATAAGAGAAACAATAGGACAGGGACGGTAGGCACGTTGGTGCGCTTATGCACGCCCCCTACAGGCCTCTTAGGAAAGGGGTGAGGTCAATAGTAGACAGTCTAAGGTTAAAGTTTTTGGGGTTTGGGTTTTCTTTCTTGATACTTTCTTAAAGGGGAAGGGTTGTTTTAAGCTTTTTACACTGCTATTGGGAGGAAATACTCCCCTGGAAATACTTCCAGCCTGCATGCAACGATCAGCACTTTGAAGAAATAATTGAATAATGAAGCAAAGCTTTTAATGACAGGGAATCAAGATGAGTGACATTCAGCAAGTCTTCTTGGCTAGCTAGAAAGATTGACATTCAAACATGAGTTTACATACCCTTTCTGAGTTTTGGTCTAAAACTGGTTTTTGGTGACTTTTAATTCTGTGCTTGGTGATGTTTAATCCTGTGTTTATTGATAGGATAATTTTCCCTATTCAGCTTTGTTTGGAAGGAAAAAGATTATTCTCTGTTCCTGAAAAGAAACTGGATTGAGAAAATCTGGCTAGTTCCTATGTCTATTTGTTCTGGTAATTGGTTTAACAAGCAACAGCTACTGTTGTGATTTAATTATTTGCATTGTGTTTGAATTTTTTCCTGCCTCATGGTTTCTTTTTCTATCTGGGGAGGGGGTCTTCCTTCACTGCTTTAGTGGTATCTGGCACTGTCCTTTTGGGGTATATTTCCAAGAGGCAGGATGCAAGCTTGGCACTGATTTTTTTACTGCCTTTCTGGGGGGCATGTGACCTTTCCTTAAATCTGGATGATTTCCTTAGGATATCTTGTGAGGTAAGTGAGACCAGCTGGTATCTTTAAGTGGTGCAAATGGATGTAAGGATTGCTTCTCGTCAGTGTGCTCTTTCTGGGGAGCTTAAATGACCTCTCTGCAAAAGGGTTTCACTTTATGAGCAAGAGTTGCTGCTGATAGTTATCATTGCATTTTAACTATTTTAATTCCTCAAGGTGCTCTGACACCCTGCCTGATTTGTAACTCTGGCTTGCAGGTATTTTTAATCTAATGGTTGCCATTTAGGGCAGCTTTTTGCAAGCAAAGAAGCTTTTTGTATTTTTGTACAGGTAATCCTTGATTTACAACAGTTCATTTAGTGACCATTCAAAGTTACAATGGCACTGAAAAAAGTGACTTATGACTGTTTTTCTCACTTACGACCATTGCAGCATCCCCACTGTCATGAGAGGCCAGGCGAGGAGAAGCGCCCTTTGACGTGAGTGATGTTGAGTTGGCCACACCCACCCAGTCAAATGACCACCAAGCCATGGCCACCAACGAAGCCACGCCCACATAACCGGTTGTTAAAATTTTTGAATCCCACCCCTGCTGATACTGTATATATAAACATATACTGTAAACAAAAAGATGTTTAGGTTTGAACTTCCTTTTTTCTTTAAAGAAATATACTCCATTTCTAATTATTATTTCCCTTTTTTTTCAGAGTATAATTTCTATCCTACCACAGAAATTAAAACAATAAATTGTGCCTTTACTTTTGATTCATTCAGTTAAGGAGTGCATATGATAGTCTTGAAGTGGTATTCTTACATAAGAATAGTCTTCCATGTCCTTTTCTAACTGTTCATTAGGAGGATGTAGTTCTAGTTCTAGTTTCAACTGAACATTAGCTTTTAAAATTCTTTGTATTATTGTATACATGTGCATACAAATACTCATGTGTACATTTGAACCCAATATTTCCTAGCTTTTTTATAAGTCCACCAGGCATGATAAAATTACTTTTTAATCATTTGGGCATATACGGTAATTGCCACCATTTCCAACATACTATACATCTGAAATAAGATTATGCAATCTGGATAATTTTTCTGGAGTTACATACCAATGGTGCATCATATTAAATTATTTTAAAGTATTACATAATGTTATAGTTCTTAGCCCATTTTATCATATACTCTTTCACTTCTTCTGTAAATTGTTCTTTTCCTTCTGGCTCTCTCCATAATGAAAGGGGGCACTATTGTCTCAATGTCCTCCAAGTCCAGGAAATGAAATATATAAGAAAGAATCCTATGGACATGCTCCTTCCTTTTGTCTCCTGGTAATGATTTACAGAGTTGTATTGCATGCCGGTACCTGTGATTGTGATAACTATGATTGTGAGTGTTCCAAAGGTGTTTTTCAAAAGGCAACTGACTTTCTTTCATCCTTCCAAGGTTGGTAAAATGAGGAGCCAGATTATTGAGGGCAAAATGCTCTGTAAACAGCTTAGAGAGGGCTGTAAAGCACTGTGAAGTGGTATATAAATCTAAGTGCTATTGCTGTTCTTTGTTTTGTCCTTGAAATCATTTTGCTTCTCATCCAAGAAATTTCTTTAGTTCAGCTTCTTGGGTGAGAAGTGAAACATTGTCAAGGAAAAAACAAAGCCCAGTTATCTTTTGAAAAGCACCTTTGGGACAACCATGCCCCCAATGATTGAGAATCTCCACAGACATGTGATTGT